CCCCCACCAAAAAAACAAAAGAAAAAACCCCCAAACGAACACAAACAATACGCAATGTAGTTGTGTTTACCCCTGCATCGACACCAGTAATAATATTATTAAAATTTACGAGGAAGGCTTTGACCCTGCCTGTGAAGGAAATCCAGGCTGATACACATGCATACAGCATCCTAGCAGAGAGATCGAGCTAATTGATAAACATTATTCCCACACGGGAATCAAATTAGGGTCTTTTGCGTGCGGCGGTGAAGTGCTTTACTGCTGCACCACACAAAGACGCACGCGTCCATTATTCAAATGGTGATGATAAGATAGATGGTTGTGACGGGAGGTGGGTAGGGAACTAGATCTAGTACTCAAATTATTAGGCCTACAGTTAAATTATGATCACGTTTTTGCTTCATCATAACTATTGCATGAGACTAAGCATTGTGTTTTTATCACTATGTTAGTAGTGCCTATATAGAGTTCTGCATTTTTGCGAATGTGTAAACTTTAGTAGGGGGCTCTCGTGGCCTAGAGTTAAAGTGTTGGCCTCTCATTCAAAGGTCCAGGGTTCGAATCCGGGTAGCGACCGAAAAATTTTCTTTTCTAAGATTGTCTCCTTTCACCTCCTTTCCTGTTCTCTAGCAATGTTCTGGCGTCTGCTTTCGTTTCCTCTTTTTGCCCCTACCCTTTCACTTACTTTGCCTCCTCCTCTGGGCTCCTGACTCTTTCTGCAGCCTTTCTACCGACTCCATGGCTCCTTCTTACTACTGTCTTTCAGCCACACCCCTGATCTTCTGGTAGGAAAGATCTACACCTAGCCTTCTCGGACAAGGGCGAAAAATATCGAAGGTCTCGTGTGCAAGTTGCGCTCGTTAAAGATCTCTTGGTGGTCCAAAATCGATAAGAGCAGGCTTCGGCCGCCACCCGGGCAAAATTCAAACTTTCCTACCAACTGAAAAAGTTTAATATGTCCCGCGCGCTCATATGATCTTATGCAGTTGCGAGCGCCGTAAAACACTTACCCCCCAAAAAAACAAAACAAAACAACAACAAAAAACCAAAACCAAAAAAACTTTAGTATCACCATATAGGCCTACAAGAACAGGCTTTAACGAGTAAAAACAAGCAGTCTTGCAATGTATACCAAGTGCCCATTGAGGTCATAGTTAAGTGGAGCAAATGATGTTTGTGGAAAAACATGACTTTAGAGGAGGGAGTTATTTGGGGGACAGTCAATATCCAAGACTGTTCACTCATACATGATCCCCGGTTCTCCACTGAGTGCACCATTTGACTTGATTTCGAATCAAGTGAAGGGCAAGGAGAGAAAGGTTGAACGCGCACTCAGTTTATAGCGAAACTGGTATTTTGCCCTTTTTTTTCTCGCACATGGGATGCACAGTCCCAGTGAAAATTTCATAAAGAGCAAAGAGTGGCAGACATGACAGTCCCCAATCTACGATAAATGTTAACTAAAGTCTATTGAAATTTAAATGTTTAAAAAATGTATAGGCTACATAGCAACCGTGACAAACAACCAAACTATTTTAAAACTTTTTTTATTTCAGGTGAAAATGGAGCGGGCCTGGAGCGTGTGTCGCGATACTCGGGGTCAAAGGTCACTCTGGAATCTTCTATGGACTCAGATGAAGACCACAGTTTCTTTGTCATAGCTGGGGACGTGAGACAGATCTCTTTGGCTAAGGTGAGAAAAGCACGAACGCACGAACGCACGTACACACACACACACACTTGTACGCACGCACACACACACACA